AATATTTTGTGACATTACCTGCGCAGTCCTTAAGGGCAGCAGCCACATCCTCCTCCTTAAGAATACCAGCGAAGGCCATTATGTTGGGTTAAGCTGTATAGAAGAAAATTATAATGATATAATAATCGTAGCTCACAATGATTACAAAAGTAGCTTACAAAAATCAGATAGAATAAATGTAATGATAACATTTCTTGCCTATATTCCCCAGTTAACCAATAAAATTCATATAAAGTTCTACATTTTATAGTATGGATTAACTTCCGTCTTCTTGCTCATTTGATGGATCAGTTTTCAAATCCGATTAATGATTTCATTTGCTTTTTAAAATGTCATTGCATTTTTAATAGATCGATTGAAACGTTAAATGGCCAATCATCGCCATTATCGCCCCCTCCTCTGACGAGCAGTTGGGCCCCCGTTAGTAAAATAAATAACTGCACCGATCTCAGTCTGCTATAGCCATGTCCACTGCTATCACTGACGAGTTGCAAAGATGATTCTTCAGAAATATTGTAAAAGTGTTTGCTACCTCATCAGTGCTGTTCAGAAAAGTTTCGTGATTGACTCTGAAGTCCATTAACGACTTTAATTGTTTCGCCTGTATACAGGTGCAAAACTCCATAGGGCCCAGAAGATTATAGAACCCCACCTCATATAATTATTGAGATTACCAGCGGCTAAACACCATTGCCTTCTGCGCTTCTCAGTAATTAATCTAGTTACTTAAAAATTACTTCAGTAGCTTAACAACATTGCATTTAGGCTATAGTAATGACTCCAAAGTGTCACAGATAAATGCACACTTGCATAATTATCCGTTTAATTTCAGGATTCCTTCATAGATTTTGCGTGCATAGCTAAATATAATTTGATGATAAAATATATAGTTCCGCTTCAGACGAAGTCCAAACAAACGCAAAAAATAAAAATGATTTTAAAATCCTTCGTCCGGCATGCGAACATATTCCAGCAAAGTCTTCTGGTGTTGAGTAAAAAAAGTTTAAAGCTCGTCCAGTCCTACAAGCGGTAAGGTCCACCTGTTGGAGCCGCGCTGCCTCCATCGTATCCTTCGCTTATGGGCAACTCACCTTTGTCCTCCTCGATGGCAAATGAAAACCAGAAGACTGACTGCAGCTGCTTCGGAACCGCTGGCACAGGCGCTCTTTATATACTGCCGGCTCGGCATCAGGAATTAACTGCAACGGATATCGTATGCATACGCAAGGATTAGTTTCGAAAAAAATGTGTCCAGTTGTGAAATTGTGCTATTTTTATCTTTGCACACGAGGGTGATCAAAACCATATGTGAAACACTAGAGGGAGGCCTTATGGGGACCTGTCCCACTTGAAATTGCAGTGCTTGGGGCAAAATGTCTGAAAATGCTCATAAAATAGTGTGATGTGATTATTTTGCAATGGAAATTTGTACACACGATTTTAAATGCCCTAGCATAATATAATAATTCCACCATGCTGAAAACACCATCAGATTTGCAAAGTGCAACTCATACAGAATAACTCTATTTGTTAAAGGGTTTTTAAAGTTCTGATGCAGTTTCTTGTATATGAAGTACATTTTAGTGTGTGTGAATGTGTATAATTTTTTGAGGGGAGTACAACTTTCATTATATTTTTCTCATATTTCTGGTATGCGTGCGAATGAAAACAATAACAAACAGTGATGTAAACAGGTGTAACTGTTTTATCTTGGAATTGGAGTTCGGGTATTAAAAATTGTTATAGAAAACGTTTATTTAATGGTAGTACCACAGTCAACCCATAGGGGCGGAAATTTTATTCCATAAAGGCATCTGTCACATAGGACTGCCGTATAGCAGAGGAAGGGAACCAGAGGAGCTTTAGAAGATGAGCAAGCTGAAAGTATTTAAAAAGTAATCGAGTCTACTGCGCCAGCGATCTCTGGGGACAACCCAATAAGGATACGGGGCACCCGAGAATGAGAGCAACGGGTTTAGTTTTCACTTGTGGGCATTTCTGCGTACCATCACACTTAAACGCCTCGATGACAAGATGAATCGTTATTTCTGAAGTTTTCATGACAATGTAATATTAATCTAAAACTGGTACTGAAATTTGATAGGTTAGATGATTTCTGGAAATGTGTGTTTACATTTTATTAATCAGTAGCCTTTGTATATGTAGGGACAAGGATATGACCCAGACATTCCGAGTTGTACTTATTTATTAAAATATCTGGGAATTTAGCAACAGAAATAGAAATTTTGCTGTTAAACCAAAAAAACACGGAGGCAATCTGAGGTACTTCCAGAATGCTAATTGGTCAGTGCATTTCACTATAGTCCAATGACGAAAACAATGTCACATATTTAATTAATAGCTCAATTAACTAATAATAGGAGAGGAGAAACATGAAAACACACACAGTGGTTACCAGAATGCTTGTTTCTTGACTATTTATTGTGATAGGAACACAGACTAATTTTCAGCTTTTATAGTGCGTGTAATGAAACAGGAACATAAATACACAAAATGACGTTGGTTTTGATCAGTATTATGAAAAGGATGTATTGTGCTATCTATAGATCTACATTAAATCCAGTTTCTTCATTCTTTACAGATGTAGGAAGCGTGTGTTGGACATATGTGCAATAGGTTTCTTGCAAATGTGGATCCAAAATGTTGAGATTCAAGAGGTTTATTCGTCTCGTAAACGGTTGTATACATACAACATGTAGTGAAATGTAACCCTGGTCATTCTGAGCAGCTGTGCATGATACGAATAACAATATAAAATAAAAAGTATATGAAATATGTTCAGCTGTACATAATGTATACATAAGTGATAAGGTAAAGGTAAAGCTGCAAACTCTGTGTAAAGGCTACTCTGCAATTAAAAAAATGCAGATTTTAATGCGATATTGCACACATTTGGGCTGGAATTATAATATGAAAGCTATGAGTTTGCATGAACATTTTCATGTGTCACTATATATATATTTCCAGTAGTGGTGTTCATTTCACTTAAAAAAATGGAAAGGTGGCTAAAATTAAATTAAAGCAACAAGTATTCTCTCAATTAACACCCCCTAAAATATTATAGCATTTATCTATTTGTAACAATTTTTACAATGTCATAACTGTCATTCCACAAAAAACAAACAGCAAAACTGTTTGTAGGCATAATATCTTTAAAGACATGTTTACTGGTTCATATTGCAATGTATATTATATAAAGCTAAATTCTGGAATGTGTAGATCAATCAATTTACTAAATAATTGACATCCTTTGGTAAAATGACAGTCTGCTTCATATTGTGATAATTCTTCATAAAGCTTGGACCAGGGATGGGAATTCTGAAACCGAAAAAAGAAATGATTTGAGTATTGTGTAAGTTTACCGTTTTTAGACTGAATGTTGTTCTTCATTTTTACCACCTAATGCCGATCCAATAATAAAACCATTTGTTTCATTCTGAAGTAATGAATATTTCTTTGGTATTTTCTCAGTGACAGTTTGTAATGCTTTCATTTGTATATGAATGTGTGCAGTACTATCTGGTGTGATGGATTCTGACTGCAGACCTTCCCAGCAATTCTTCTCATCACCATCTTTATCTCCCTCTGTGAGAAACGCTTGGTCTCCCCAACAGTCAGCACACGTGCATCTTCAGAGAATTTTTGAAGGCACAGCCTGGAAATAAAATGTCACATGAACAGAGAGATGAAAATTTGAATTGAATGAAAATCTTTTGTGTGTTAAATGATATATAGCAATGTGACTCATTGACTGAATGATACTTTGAAATTATCTACTTATTTATAAATGTAACAAAATTACTCATATTTTCTCTACACTCTGGTCGTAGGCAAAATAAATCTGCTGTGAAAGTCACCCTTTTTGTCTGATGTCAAAGATCATCAATGCGGTCTTGTCAGATACAGATGCTTCTCTAAACCACCTGACTTTACCTGGACACAATTAGCAGGGCAATAGATGTTTGCACGTACGTCTCCAAGAATAACTGCCTTACCATCACAGTTTAGTAAACCTATCAGGGACTTTATGTAGAAATCCACACCAGTCCTACATAATTAATGGCTACTATTGTTCATTTCAAAGGCATCCCTAAACTGGGGAATTCAGGGAAGCCCCAATTGATTTGTTTAGCTCAGATGTTTTACCAACCATGCTCTCTAAGATGGAATTATCTCAAATTTCCCTGCCTTTACAGCACCCCTGGATACCATTAAGGTGATTCTGTTGTCTGCTTTATATAGGTTACATTTATGCAAGAAATACATTATGAAAAGCATTATGTATTCTTAGGCAAGAAATACATTATGATTTCAATATTATGACATTATAACACAACAGTAACAACACTAATAATAATAATAATAATAACAATGACATTCTTCTGCCATGGTGCTAGATAGAATAGTTCTTAAATCATTCTGCAAATGTATGTATTTTCATTGGAACAGTTTGTTTGTAGAAACAGAAAAAGACGATGCATTTAAGAAAACACTATTTAAAGGCGTCAAACCAGTTTAAGGGCGCTTCATCAAAATTATACAATATATTACAAAGGTATGGTTGTTTTAACTTCGTAGAACTCCTTCATCAACAATTACATAGTAATTAATGCAGCATTATACCATCCCTTAGCATAAACACGGTGTACAGTGTATTACAGTTTATAACTCTTTAAAAGCATTTAACAAAACATTGCTTCCTGAACGAGTAATATAGATATAATCAACTCGTCAAAATCCTTGTTGTCTTTTATTCATCAATGAGCCAGTCTCACTCTTTTATTGGCCAATATGTGCCTCAAGGCATATCAGGCCAATGATAAGCGAATGCGATGGTTCGGAGATCAGCGATTCCCCCTTGAAGAGGACCTGTAATTGGACAGAAATCTGTCCCGTGATAGAATTCTTACGTTTCATTAGTTATTGTCTGTGTCTCTCGACTGACAGAAAACCCACCTGGTCACGTGATGCCTACATGACGTAGGTAAGAGTATCATGGCGCTGTGATGGCAAGTAATGTTAGATCACGTTTAACTTGATAACAAGCTTAAATTCACACTACGTTTTGTGTCAGGTTTTATGTCAGTAATATTATGTCCGCTAAGGTTAGAAAGTTGAGATAGGTAGACCTTGAAATGGCCACCAGTGAACCATTTGTAAAAAATTCTATTACCGGGTAATGAATAAGACCGGGACCTTAGCTAGCTGCAGTAGCATACTGCGTTGTGGAGGTTGAGTTATTATTTAATAAGCACTGATTTTATGATTTATAAGCTGCACGGGATAGCAATATACTATAGCTATTTATAATCGCTGGCCACCTCTGTATAACCTAAGCTCTGATTTAAACAGAGGGGAATAGACAGCAAACAATGCTGCTCATACCGGTCTTGTAAGCGGCGATGACACTGATAGTTGCCTATTTACCCCGATGACAATCTGCTGCTGTGCCCTGCTGGTTTATCCATACCCAGCTGTGTGTTTGCAGACAATGAGTTGATTAGCTATTGTTAGCTTGCTAGCTGAATAAGATGAAGAACCATTATGGATTTCCGTTGTGTGCGAGTTGGATTGCACTGTCGCTGGTAGAAGGTGCGCCGCTGCCCCGTTCATATGCAGGTATGTTTGATTCACATCAAACCAACTCGTTCGTTAAGTCGTTTTATGGGAAAATCTTTGGTACAATATCATGTCAACCGTTGCCAGAAAGAAAAGATATTTAACAGTTTCTGGGTACCGGAATTGTTCAGACACACAGAGCTGTTTCTGGAGGATAGCATTGTTCTGTGACGTTGTGTGGCGTCCAGTCCACATTGTTCCCGTCTGTTTGTGCCATCGCAATAATATTGATATGTCACAGCTGCTGAAATTACAATAGCTGCCTTTTTTAATGAAGCACCAGTTGCGTTAAAAAAAAGAGGTTAACTATTGCACAAATATTTTGTAATCTTTTTTTGTTAATTTTTTTTATTAATTCAACAAAAATGAATATGTTCTATGGATACCAAAAGGTGCGATATAAACGTGTATAAAATGGATTTGGACAGCTAGTGTACGTGTGACATCAAGTCCAAAAGCTTGTCCATATTTTGGCAATATAGCTTATCTTTCTCCCCCTGTGTTAGTAGCACTTAATTTGTATTGGCGTTTACTAACTGAGGATATCCCACATGATTAAAGGTACACCTCCACATTCTTAATCACCAACATGTTTAGATAATGTGTTTACGTCATTGAAGCAGGGTAACGAAATATGCATTCAGTCAGGTGGTTAATGCCAAGCAGTGGTTGATGATGGAGTCTGTTTTTATTAGCTCCTGCAGGTTTATAACGATGTGAATATCAAAACTAAACTTATAAATGAATACAGCAGAGTTCCCATTGTAACAGCTAGCGGATATGCTGTTTTCTGTTCATGTCCTTGGTTGACTTCCTGTGCAGTGAAGCTGCCGTGCACTGTAATCCCATAACAATGGTGAGAAGTGGGTGCTGTACTGAATCCACTTCACCTTTCCCTCCTGCTTAGTATGCTGTATTTGTCCAGCATGTTTAGAGACTACAGAAGTGTAACTCTGTTGTTCAAGACATCAACCCCAAGGGTGGGTCAATGAAACTAAAGCTTTGCATCAACTTGCGGTCGCATTTGGGACCGGGACCACTGACCGCAAGTCAGTTTGGGGGTATCTCGATATATTGTAGTTGTGTAGAGCTGTCACGATTACTACATTAATGAACGAAAATGCAGTCGTCTGTAAGTATTGCAAAGCAGAATTTTAAAATCACCACAGGATGACTGCATTGCAAATGCATTGCAAAATTGAAGACATTAAGGTTTGAAGAACTCACCCAATAATGCAAGGTTAGCCATAGATATGTGACGTGTAGCCTCTCAGAGTAGCTAGCCTAGCATGTCTGTCATCACTTTGAAATTATTTTGCATAATTTACTTTCTGCGATTCATGTATGCCAAAATTGCCACTGTATGTATTGTACTGAATGTATTGTGTGTTAGGGCCGAACTTTACTGGAAAAAGTTCACGTTGTAATTTTGAAGTTTTTGCGATAATTAGGAGTCGAAAATTAGCTATATAGCGAAGTACGACTTATTATATTATATACCAACAGACGAGAATGATTATGATGGTCTTGGAGAGCGCATTCAGAGCTCATGCAAAAGAAGTGGTGGTAAACTTTGATTTTTTTACAGTCAAACCTCCCTTATCCGGACCTTCAATATACTGGCACCTCCCTCTACCGGGCAGCTCTAAGCACGCGCTTGCGCAGATTACTTTTACACAACCAGCAGCTGTTGTAACGAGCCCCAGTCTAGGGTGAAAGGGAACGTGGAGTAAGGGAAGGACAGGGTGCGATGGACAAGGGAACACACGTGGACAAACGGGTATTGTCACGTTCGGGGACCGGCGAGCCGGGAAGCAAACGAGAACAAGCCAGGACTGACGGGCAAACGGGGTTTATTCTGAGGCTGACGGACAGACGAAGCACAGTACATGACAATACAATGCCGGATCTGGCAGACATGGGGAGACGCGGACTGATATACACAAAACTTGATAAATGGAACAGGCAACAGGTGAGAACCATCAGGGCTGAACACGAGGTAATGAGGGGGGCGTGGCACACATCGGGATCGTACGGAGCGGGATATGACAGGTATTTTTTTTTATATATATTTTTCTGTTTTTATTGACACGCTACGGGCACAGAACAAATAAGCCCGGTGCAAAAGGACTCAGGAGTGACTATAGCGAAAACGATAAACAAAACTCAGCTTCCGTCAAAGTCCGAGGGGCGCGCGAAGACGTTAACCAAAAACCGGGCGAGAGTTCGAAACCAAACAGCAAATAAACCCAAGCGAAAGTACAGTCATGGGAAAAGCGAAAATCAGAAATCTAATAAACTAAACAAATCATACACAGTAATATCCATCAAAGAAAAGCAAGCCAACAACAATAATCAATAAGTGAGCAGCGCTCCCGAGACGTCTTTCGGTCGGCTTTTTACTTCGGAAGACGAAAGTGATGAAAGCCGCATACAGAGCGTTATGGGCGAAGCCTGCACGTGGAGGCGAGCCGAACGTCGAATGGAGAGTGAGCTAGAGGACGAGGCTGAGGGCGGAGTCTGCACGTGGAGGCGGAGCGAACGTCAAATGGAGAACGAGCTACAGGACGAGGCTGTGGGCGGAGTCTGCACGTGCAGGCGGAGCGAACATCTAATGGAGAGCGAGCTGGAGGACGAGGCTGTGGGCGGAGTCTGCACGTGGAGGCGGAGCGAACATCTAATGGAGAGCAAGCTGGAGGACGAAGCTGTGGGCGGAGTCTGCATGTGGAGGCGAGCCGAACATCGAATGGAGAGCGAGCTAGAGGACGAGGCTGTGGGCGGAGTCTGCACGTGGAGGTGGAACGAACGTCGAATGGAGAACGAGCTACAGGACGAGGCTGTGGGCGGAGTCTGCACGTGCAGGAGGAGTGAACATCTAATGGAGAGCGAGCTGGAGGATGAGGCTGTGGGCGGAGTCTGCACGTGGAGGCGGAGCGAACATCTAATGGAGAGCAAGCTAGAGGACGAAGCTGTTGGCGGAGTCTGCACGTGGAGGTGGAACGAACGTCGAATGGAGAGCGAGCTGGTGGACGAGGCTGTGGGCGTAGTCTGCACGTGGAGGCGGAGCGAACGTCGAATGGAGGGCAAGCTAGAGGACGAAGCTGTTGGCGGAGTCTGCACNCGAGGCTGTGGGCGTAGTCTGCACGTGGAGGCGGAGCGAACGTCGAATGGAGGGCAAGCTAGAGGACGAAGCTGTTGGCGGAGTCTGCACATGCAGGCGGAGCGAACGTCGAGTGGGGGCGAGCTGGAGGACGAGGCTGTGGGCGGAGTCTGCACATGGAGGCGGAGCGAACGTCGAATGGGGGCGAGCTGGAGGACGAGGCTGTGGGCGGAGCTGAACTTACAGCGGCGCATAACACTGTGCAGAGTCCATGGCTTCAAAAAGGAAGCGTAGTGTCATGCTCCAAAAGAAGTTTGATATTACAGAGATACGAAAAGGAAAATCAGAGTTGTTGTAGACCATTTTGAAGTAGCTAAGTCTACGGACTTAGATATGCACAGTAGGGTTAGGCAATATATAGCAAATGTTTTATCATGATACATTTTTCAAATAAGTCGTTATCAACAATTATCAGTCGGCCATTATAGGCCTGCAGCACTGCCCATTCTCCTGCACTTGTTACACTAAGCAATACACCCGCTAATGACCCACAACGTCTGCTTTCAGGTGTCTCTCAATCAGTGTATATTATTTACTATTGAGCTTGGGCATGAATGTTACTTGAGGAGGATTGATCACGCAAAACTTGACATAAGACCGTATACTGTTTTTTTTTTAGCAGTATTTTAAGAGTGAGATGGTTGAATGGGGGGTGGCATAGTTGTGCAGTGGTTTGCACTGTTGTCTCACTCCTCTGGAACCTGAGTTCAAGTCTCTGCCAGGGTTCCATGTTTGTGGAGTGTGCATGTTCTCCCCATGTCGTTGTGGGGTTTCCTCCAGCTACTCCGGTTTCCCCCCCACAGTCCAAAAATATGTTGAGGCCAAATTCAGTGTGCATTGCCTGTCAGTGTGCATGTATCAGTGAATGGTGTGTGTGTGTGTGTGTGTGTGTGTGTGAGTGCACCCTGTAATGGATTGGTGCCCCATCCTGGGTTGTTCCCTGTTTTGCACCCCTAGGCTCCAAACCCACCCATGACATTGAATAGGATAAGTGGTTTCAGGAAATGTATGGATGGATGTTCAAATGTGTCTTTTCTCTGGGGGTCTAGGGGTAAGAGATGGATAGAGATTAAAATTACTTTTGATTAGAAACTTACACGTACCTCTGTGGGTGGTTGACCTGGTAACAACTCTGCATTATTAATCTAGTATTTCCATCCCTTATAATTACCATGCTTCTTTATGACTGGTTTTAGATATTGATAGTTGTTAGTTTGTTAAATTGCTTTGTTACCAACTCCGAAATCCATTATTGGCTTTCTGACATGCTCTTTGTTTTTTATGCAATTTTTGGCTCCTCCCTTCATCTGAGGACAGGAAGGCCTGAATGACTGGGAAGGGGTGACGTACATGGGGGATGTTGTGGTTATGGCCCCAACATGCATTATGAAATATAAATATAAGAAGTAAATAGAAATAATTATATACAAACATACAATGTGTATGCATGCATTTGGCTTGGTTCAAGGATTTCTTTCTCTTATGTAAGTATGCATTTTACTGATCAATCTTAAAGTACTGGGTTGTTACTGCTTCACATATGACCACAGTTGTATCAGCTGTCAAATTACACCATAAGGTACCCAAAATTTCCACTCTACACTATCAGAAAAGAGAGTACCAATTTGTATCTTTGCTAGTAATTGGGGCTATAACTTCAAGGGTCTGCTAATTGTACCAGACCTGTAGATAGTACGTTTTAGTCTAATTTAAGGTACAGAAATGGACTCTGAGGAACATCCCCAAGGTATGTACAACATTAATGTACCCCCAATGGTACAAAAATGTTCCTCGTAGTCCATTTCTGTATCTTAAAAGGTACGTTTACCCTTGAAGGTACAGCCCCAGTGACAAGCAAAGGTACAAACCGGTAATCTTTTTTTTCTGACAGTGCATAAAGATACTTATGAACATCTCTCTTGGGAGAGATGTCTGTTGATGTTGATAAACACGTTTTTCATTTCCACAGCTTTAACTGGATCCATTCTAACTTGCAGCAGGGTTTAAATCAAGCTTGTGCTTTGCGTCCTTACAGAGGCGACAGCAGGTGAGCTCTGCCTGGTGGTGTCTCTGTCCTTCTGTGTGCTGGCCGCTCTCGTGGTTCTGTTAGTGAACTGCGTTACCTGCTGTGAACGTCGGGGAATTGACTTTAAGGTAAGCATCCCCTGTCAGTCTGCACATGCTTGCTCGTCATTGTAAAATCAGCACGTTAAAAGTGCTTCGACTGTTTTCGAATGGGCCCCTTTCTTGCCTTTTGATTTCATCCCCTTGTGGATATGCAGATAGTGACATCCTACTTGCTTTGTCTTAGAACCTTGTCTTTCATTTCAAAGGAATTTGAAGATAACTTTGACGACGAACTAGATTTCACCCCTCCTCCTGCTGCTGCTGGTAACCCGTCCACGCACCCTAGCTCTGAGGTTTACACCTTGGCTGTGCCCCCAATATCCCTGCCAGCGCCCCCACACCTCCAGCCTCCCCTAATTACTGGTGAGAATAGAAAAACCACACAAAGTCGTCACAGCTCTTCCATTGACTTTGCACAACATTATTGGCACCCTTGAATTTTAGATTTTTGCATGCTATGTATAATATCTTCATAAATAGAAATTAAACAACTTTTGGTCATTAGAGTATTTTAATTGGATGTCCAAAATTATACAGCAAAACGATCTCTCAACTTAAAGAAAAAGAAAATATTACCTGAACACTATTAAAAGCACTCTGGTATTCTGGTAGCACAACCATGACAATGATGACAAATATTATTTAACTCCATCTAAAATCTTCACGCACCTTTTTGCTGGTAGCTCCTCCCACTCCTCAGTTTAGCAGTAGCAAAGGAATTCAATCAGATTGAAATCAGGGCTTATGGCTGGCCAGTTTAACTAGGTACTAGCAGGTAAGCACAATGACTGGAGGAAAGTGTAAAAATTGGGCCAAAATCCTTTAGGTTCAACTTATTAATTTTCTGTCCAGAAATGTCACATTTAAGTAATTTTCACAAAAATAAAGGATATTCCTTACTCTTTTTACCAGCCTATGCCTTGTCGTTATTTCTTTCGAAAACGGTCCTGGTATTATTCATTGAAATGCAACAATTTTTCAACATTCTTCAGCTAAAATATCAGTCAATTTTGCTCTGTTTTATTGCAGAAGCCTACGAAAATTTCCTTCACTAAACTAATTTTAGATACCAAACTAAAACTTGAAAAATGAAATCCCACAATCAACGGCGGAACTTTACTGTGAAAATGAGTGAGGTCCCCAAAATGCATATCTCAAAAACTGCTAATGATAATGACTTGAAATCTTTTGTCTTTATTTGTTATAGAAACATTCTTACTTATGTAATTTAACCTGGACCAATTTTCTATTTCTAACAGTGTCCAGTGTTTCCAGTTTAACTGTTATTTTCTGCTGTAGGATGTGTTCTGGGTCATTGTCCTTCCAGACGCTCTAAACCAGGGGTATCCAACTCCAGTTCTGGAGGCCCGGAGCCCTGTGTAGCTTGGTTCTGTAGCTTGTGGTAATTAGCACAAGGAGTTGAATCAGGTGTGTTAAATGAGGGGAAACCCAAAAATGTGCAGGGCTCTGGCTGCAGTTGGACACCCCTGCTTTAAACTGTTATGGTAATTCTCTAATTCCAAGACTTTAAGGCATTCAAAGCCTCCAGCGCCAACAAAGTGACCCCATGACATTATACAACTTCGACCATTTTAATTTAGTAGACACTTTCATCCAGCACAACATATGTCTTTAGGGAGAAAGCAGGGCTAGACGGTCTCTGGAGTAACTGGTGGTTAAGGGCTTTACTCAGGCACCCAATGGTGAGATCACTCTGCAGACCACAAGCTTTGACCTTCCAATCACAGGCACCCTAACTGCTGAGCCACACACTGCTCCTTGTCCTCCCCATCAGTAGGGTGTCCCTTTCCTTACCAGCTTCATTTTACCTTTCGCCCATAAAGTCCTTCTGTATGGCATATGGAACAGGTTGAACCCATCATTCCAGATTGTTCCAGGTCTGCTTTGAATGGTACATTCATTGCATAAATTATCCAGTGTAATATAGTTATCTGGATGATCGTTCTCAATTTGCATCCAATTCAGAGTCATTTGTATGATTTTCTGAACAGTATGAATGTGCTCGGGGCTATATTCGTTTTCGATCACTGACCTCACGCACAGGTGTGAAGTCTTTATGGTAAATTGGGAGGTTGAAGAATATTTATAGTGGTTAATGGAAAATTACAGGTTTGCACAGGGACCATTTCTGTACCTTAAAGGGTACAATTGGCAGACCCTTGAAGGTACAGCCCCAGTGACAAGCAAAGGTACAAATCTTTAGAACCAGGCATGCAAAGGTGTCTGGAGCTGGAGAATTTTCATGTCTGATTGTTATGGCTTTTATGATGGCCTCAGACAGCTATTTTGTCTTCCTAACTGTCAAGTAAGAATGGCAATCAGAATTAACTGTTTTTCGTAATTAAAAACTTTAAAGTCGTAAATACTTATTCGAGGTGTTGTGCAAACCAAATTTAGGCACCATTTCAAAACCACACACAAGATAAAAATACACATGCAGACATTAATGTTCTTGAAACTGATTGTAACTATTATACATTCAAATACATGTCCAGTTAACCTTGTTTACTGTCGTTGAGATGTCAGTCGTGAATGTCACGTAGGCACGCTATTGGTTGACTGAATCTTTCATTTATACGTGACATTTTTACAGAATATAGAGTAGGCACGTGCCTACCTGGTGTGGTTGACACAATGCCACTGATACCAAGAATCTATCACCCACGAGCAGAGGTGGAGATTTAGTTTCAACCAGCCAGTTGAGTACTCTGTAACTGTGACTTTCCATACTGAACTGGTTGGTTGAAACAAAATCTTGGTCTGGATTTGTACTCTCTGGACCTGAAATCTCCACCTCTGCCCAAGAACAAAAACGTAGTTATTCTAATCAAATGATTCGGGTGCCAATAAATGTGTTACATCAACTTTTAAGAACCTTTTTATTTTTTGTTGTTGTGCTTTTGTGCTTCAAACAGCAGTAAATATTGACCAAAGCTGGTTTATTGTCTACATCATAGGCGAAAATCAAAGGTGCCAATAATGTTGACCATGTATATATATGTGTGTGTATAATGTGTGTTTAATGTTTAATGGTTTCCACAAAAAATAATGCTCATTATTAAATTTTAGAATGGGTGCCGCTTAATTCACTTGGATAAGCAACTTTACGAACAGCAGCTGAGCAACTTGTTTCTGCATTTTGTTGAAGAAGCACATGAAGAAGTCAAAATGTAGCAGCCTGGCCTGTGTTTACTAGCGTGGGCGGCTAAGGCACAGCATTCTTTACATTAATTATATTTATAAATTTGGCAGATGTACAAGTCAGGGACAAGTGGTAATGCATTACAAGCATACAGCTGTCACAGAGCCAAGTTCTTTGCAAATAATACTGAGGTGTGAAGTGATCTACAAGTTACAGCTGCTAAAAGACCGTTAATTACCTCAGCAGTAACCCCTGCAAATGACCTGTGACGTGTCATATTTATCTATGGGGACCTGTTTAAATTTGTTATATAAACACACAATATTTGTGTTTCGTATAGAATGTAACTGCAGATCACAAACGCCTGAAAAGTGGGATTACAGAAGAATTAGTGGTTTAGCTAAACATTTTTGATAATTATATTGTGAGCTGCAGTCCGGTTACCTGTCGTGACCTGCATGAGTCACTAGTTCATGACCTGCCTGTTTCCTCTGGAATGTCACAACAGGCTCTCAGCAGATTCCAGAAAATACCACGGCAGCGTCTAGGTAACCGAAATAAGACACAATAAAGTAAGGCTGCTCCTGTAAAATGAGAACTTTATTTAACCCATGTGGTGGGAAATTTATTTATCCAGTCGCACAGAAAAAGATTAAATACATCAAAGGAATCTAAGTAAAATAAACTAAACATATGTAAATTTTGTAAATTTCTTATGTTCTTATGTTCTTATGTTCTTAAAGGAGATTTAGTATTAAAATAATCAGAAATAATGCATTTGAAGAATGATTAAGAGGACAATACAGTGCGAAATGGTTGTGCTAATGGTGCATATATCTGTTGAGAATACTAATGCCATTACAAGAGGTAACAGCATTATGCAGTCATGTGGCAGTAGGTGTAGGAAAGAGCATCTGTAGCACTCAGTTGTGCTTTTGGGGGAGGTGGGCAGTGTGTGAAGTCCGGGGGGGTCCGACACCGCCGATTAACCCATGAGACCCCCTGAAAGCATCTAGTTGCAGTATCACTTATAAAGCATTTCAGTTTGGTTCCCTCTTCCTAGCTGTAACTGGGATTTTAAGAATAGGAAGCATTAACTAATCTGTTTTTTTAGTGTGAGAGAGATCCCTGAAATAGGATAGTCAATGAAAGCCTCCATAGTAACCATTGCCTAGCGATTATGGGTTACGACAATCAGCGGCGCAAACGGGAAACCCCTGTAGCGTCGGCCACAGAAAAACAGGATGTTTACAGGGAGAGCGTGCCAAATGTGCTCGCTGACGGCTTTCACATCCCTGTAAGGACGTGCGTGGACGGCTGCAGGTACTGCCAGCCGGGTAACTGTATCTTAGGCTGGACTAAATATAGCGCTTTTTTTTTTTTTTGAGCCACAACAGGGAAATGTTGTCGGCCCCTGGTGAACGAGAGGAGAAGTGGTGCGCTCTGGCAGGTGGAAGCGTGTCACCCTGTGCGATCTTTCTGGGAAATGCACGTGCAAAACCCTCGGACATGGACCGAGATTTTCTATTTAAACCTGGCTATATGCCGCGTGGCCTGTCAGCAATGAGAGACCTCGTTTCAGATTTTTTTTCCAGGATTTACTCTAGAAAATAATTTGCATAGAGCAACAGGAGTGGTAGTGGAGGCAAAGCGAAAAGGCCGGACTGCTCTATTGAGCATTAACTAGTCTCAGAATTCCTTACCTGAATCACCTAGTTCACTGCAGTTTGGGGTTTGGATATTAGAGGCTGTCGGTTCATGTAAATGTCCTCTTGGAAATGCAGTTGGCAGCATGTAGGCTAGTTAATTAAGGAACCAGTCAGTATCTCAGGGTGGGTTCAGTTGTGGGTTTTTGTGCCAAAACATGGGAACCTGAAGACAAGGTGATTTTTTTTTTTTGTTTTGGGGGGGGAGGGGGGATCCTACAGATGGTATCAAGATGATCTAGTTGTTTGATCCTCAGTTTTAC